ATGGGTGCTGGGAATCCAGACCGGGTCCTCTGCAAGAGCAGTCAGTGCTCCTAAACACTGAGCCATCTCTCCAGCCCCACAAAAAAAATTTTTTTTTTTGTCTTTTTGAAGCAGGGTCTCCCTGTAGACCCAGCTGTCCTGGAACTCACTATGTAGACCAGGCTGGCCTTGAACTCACAGAGATCCGCCTGCCTCTGCCTCCCATATGCTGGGACTACAGGCGTGCACCACTGCACCTCAAAAATATTTTTTAAAAGAACAAAAATTTGATTCTCAAAAGAAAGTTGAGGCCAGGTGTGGTGGTGCACACCTTTAATCCCAGCACTTGGGAGGCAGAGGCAGGTGAACCTCTGTGAGTTCAAAGCCAGACTGGTCTACATAGTGAGTTCTAGAACAGCTGGGGCTACAGGGAGACCCTGTCTCACCAAAAAAAAAAGAGTTGACATATACCTTAATAGCATATAAAGACCATCTCTCTGCTACATTATTTTAGTTGCTTCTTTCAGGCAACTTAGCTTTTTGGGGGAGGGGGAGCAGTGCTGAGAATTAAACTCAGGCTTTGCTTATGGTAGGCAAATTCTCTATAAATGAGCTGTGCATACAGCCTTCCAATTTTAAGTAATTAGCTATATACATACACACACACACACACACACACACACACATATAGAGAGAGAGATGACGCTAGCATAATCCAAAGCAGTTATCACACACCTTAAGGTCAAGAAAGTAATTCATATAGACAAAGATTGAAAGATAGGTAAAATTAGAACGAAAATGTGAAAGTTGGATTCTCTAATTATTCATCAGCCACAATCACTATTGGATATGAAAAACTCACTGTACGACCATCTGGTAGAAACAAGTGCTTTCAGAGTTCTGCTACTATCTTAAAGTCCTTTGGACATTAAAAGTAAAACAATCAAAACCACTTGCTCAGGGAATACAATAAAACTATAAAATTAGATGATCCTCAATATTAAGTAGGTATGAAAATACCACCTTCATAGACAATAGGCTCTTTTTGACTCACTTGTAATAATTTGGCTTAGTAACGGTGTCTTCAGAAGAATCAGATCCTAAAATAAAAAAAAGAGCCCCACAAGAAATCAGTAAATGTTTTCTTTTAAAGATTTATTAATTTTTTTTTTTGATCTTTTTGAGACAGTGTCTCTATATAGCCCCGTCTTGGAATTCACTATGTAGAGCAGGCTGGACTTGAACTCACAGAGATCCGCCTGCCTCTACCTCCTGAGTGCTGGGATTAAAGGAGGCAGAGGCAGGTAGATCCCTGTGAGATTAAAGGCCAGCCTGGCCTACATAGGGAGTTCCAGGCCAGGTGGGTCTAAAGGGAAACCCTGTCTTAAAAAAAGGAAAAGAAAAAAGTCCTAATAGTTCTGGTGGTTAATATTCAGGAGCACTTAAATATAGTCTAGCTGCTGTTGTACTTCTTGTATACCTCATTTAAGATGCTTGTCAATCCTTTGAGCTGGTTACTCTTATACACTGTTGATTCAGCCATTTCTCTGTATTGCCTGTCATGTCTGTTGTGCCCTCCACTCAGTATTTCTGGATGAATAAGTATATGTTTCATAACAAGGCTTACAGCCAGCTGTCATTGCAGGGGTTTCAATGCCCTTCTGGTCCTTGGGGTTCTGCACATACATACATGCAGACAAACACAGATACACAAAATAAAAATAAATTTATTTTTTGTCTTTTTGAGATAGGGTCTCCTTGTAGCCCCAGCTAGCCTAGAACTCACTGTGTAGACCAGGCTAGCCTGGAACTCACAGAGCTCCACCTGCCTAGGCCTCCCAAGTGCTGGGATTAAGGGCTTGTGGCACCATGCCCAGTCTGTTTGGACTGTTTTTATTAGCATTCAGTTTGTATGTATACGTATGTGCACACAAGGCATCAAAAAACAATTTATGGGAGTTGATTCTCTCCTTCCATCATGCAGATTTCGGAGATTGAATTTAGGTCATCAGGCTTGGTTGCAAGTACCTTTACCCGCTGAGCCATCTTAAAGCCACTGAACTATTTTTCTGACATAAGACCTGTTGACCATAAATTTATTATGCTAAAATCAGAAAACACACAGGTATATTTCAAAGAAATCCAATGAATTTTATGGACACATGTCAGTGCTGGGACTCTCAGAACAGAGCCATTCTTCCCAATTTCTATATATTTTTTAAATTTATTTTTATTTTATGTTTATTTTGCCAGCATGCATGTAAGTGCACCTATGTTGTACAATGCTTGCGAAGACCAGAAGAGGACATCAGACTCCCAGGAACTAAGTTGCAGACAATTAGCTTCCATATGGACACTGGGTACTCTGTACGAGCAGTCAGTGCTCTTAATTGCTGAGCCATCTTTCCAGCCCCTATTATTATTTTTGAGACTCAGGTTGACCTTAAGCTCATGATCCTCCTAGATTGCCCTCTCTTAAGTGCTTAGATTATAGGCACAGCTATTGACCCCAAATATTAAGAAATACGGTAGAGAGACCTGTTTGAGCTCTCAGCTCAGCTTTTTTAAGGAGTGGGGTCAGTGCCAAGGACTGAACTCGTGGCCTTATGCAATTTACCCAATCATGTTCTTTCTTACTGCCTGTATCCATCTTTCCAAAATTATTTACACACATGCATAACGAAACATCCTTTCTTTTGCTCCTTTTAAAGATTCTTCAAGGTGTGAAGTGTAGCTTTTACATTATTTATGACTCCCTGGCACACATACAAATCACAACCAATGTTTTTAGTAAAAACGTAAGACAATCTAGCAATTATCATGCTGAACCTTACCTAATTCAATGTAGACAGATTTATTTTGAGGCCTTATCTGTTGATTTTTCTTCAGAGGTCTCACAATTCCAAGATTAGAGAGTTGGTCACTGAAACTGTCTTCCTGCTAAACAGTAAAGAATGCTTTAGTTATATGACATTAAATTTTTTCCACTTTCTGTTGTTTTAATTTCCAAAACTAATTATAATCATGAGTAATTTAAAAAGTATCAAAAAAGCATTTTTTGAAGCTGATTATATATATATATATATTTCTAATCACATCTGATAAGTTTGGCAAAATACAGTACATTTAAAAAAATGATAAATGGGGGCTGGAGAGATGGCTCAGCAGTCAAGAGCACGGACTGCTCTTGCAGAGGACCGGGCTTGATTCCCAGCACCCACATGGTGGCTACAAACCATTCTCAACTCCAGTTCCAGGGGAATCTGAAGCCCTCTTCTGACCTCCACGGTATTGCACAACACGGGTGCACTCACATACATGCAGGGAGACAGGGTCTCCCTGTAGCCCCAGCTGGCCTGGAACTCACAGAGATCGGCGTGTGCCACCATGCCCAGCCAGAACCACTATTTTTAGGGCTTCCATTATTCATTCACATAAGAGTAAGCACAGAGCAAATAACTGCATTTTCTTTGATGAAAACACTGGTTTAAGCTGAGTGTAGTGGGCAGAACTCTGTGAGTTCAAGGTTAGCCTGGTCTACATAGTGAGCTCCAGGCCAGCTGGGGCTACAGAGAGATCCTGTCTAAACACAAAATTAAAAAACACTGCTCTAGTTAAAATAATTTTCAAATAATTACAAAGATCAGTGTCCTTGTGGCTGTTTCAGACAAGTGCCAGAGCTGATGAAGCTGTAAAGTGGAAGAAGGGCCTATAAGTTCTCTCTTAATCATACCAGGTCCCTGATCTTCTGAATTCTTCTACCTCTTACTAATTAGAGTATCGCCTGGCCACTTAATCTACCATCTTCCTTTCCTTTCTAACCTTTCATATAAACTGAAGCGTACCCAGCACATTCACTAATTCATGCATAATAAAGAAATGCCAGAAGAAATGAAAAACAGCTTTACCAAGGTGGGATTTCCAGGCTCATTCTGCCGAAGTCTTTTGGTACGGTTTCGGTAGCCCACACACTCAATGACAGAAGACTCCTCATGTGAATGTTCAGAAGACTTATTTTCCTTTTTCAAAAAACTGTAACTATTTGCAACTGGGATTTACAAAGGATCACATTTTTAGGGTTAGAAAAAAAATGCATTAATTTTCATTAAAGACCCAAGAATAATATTGTGTCTGTTCTCTATTATATTAGGATACTGCATTATGATTATCTATAATTTCTTAAAGATTTTTTATTATTTATGTGTGCGTATGCTTGTGTGTGTCTGCATGAGTTTATATGTACCATGTGTGTGTGCAGGTGCTTGCAGAGGCCAGAAGAGGGTGTTGGATCCCCTGGAACTGGAGTTAGGGATAGTTAACCACCATGTGGGTGCTGGGATTCAAACCCAGGTCCTCTGAAAGAGCAGCCAGTGCTCTTAATTTCTAAGGCATCTCTCTAGGTCCAACAGTAAGTACTCTTAAATACTGATCCATCTCTCTAGTTCCAATTACCTACAATTTTCTAAAAATCAAGTATGGAAATTCAAAGACTGTCCAAGCTATTTCTATTCTCCCCACCCCCCACCTTTTTTTAAAAATTTATTATTATTTTTTTATGTGTATGAGTGTATTGCTTGCATGGCTGTGAATGCACCTGTGTCATGCAATACCACGGAGGTCCAAAGGCTTCAGATTCCCCTGGAACTGGAGTTAAGGCCGGTTTGTGGCCACCATGTGGGTGCTGGGAATCAAACCCAGGTCCTCTGTAAGAGCAGTCAGTGCTCTTAACTGCTGAGCCATCTCTCCAGCCCCTCTTACCCTCTTTATAACTAATAAATTTGCCATATTACTGAGTCTAAGGCAGTGACAATGTAAGTCATACCACTATTTTTTGTAGCACTAAAAAGACATTAAGAAATGACACTGTGGTGGTTTGAATGAAAATGTTCCCCATAGGCTCCAAGTATTTGGACATTTTGTCCCCAGATGATGGCGCTGTTTTGGGAGGTTTTAGAAGGTGTGGTTATCTTGGAGGAAGCACATCACTAGGGGTGGGCTCAGAGAGTTCTTAAGCCTTGCCAAATCTCCAGTCCCTCTCTTGTTTCCTGTGCCTGTGTGATGATGTAAGAGTTTAGCTTCTGCTGCTCCTCTTCCAGCCACCTCCAGCCACCAGGCCTCCCTGCCATGGTGGACTGTACTTCCCCTGGAACCGTAAGCGCAAATAAATTCTTCCTTCTATAAACTGCTTGGGTCAATGTTTCTATCACAGCAAAAGAAAAGTGACCAACACACACCATTAATGAAAAAACGCTTACTAAGATGTACACTTTAGGGGGCTGGAGAGATGGCTCAATGGTAAAGATCACCTGCTGCTCTTACAGAAGACCCAGGCGTGGTTCCCAGTACCCACATGGTGGCTAACAACTGTCCATAACTCCAGTTCCTGGGACTCTGATACTTTCTTCTGGCCTCTGAGGGTTTGTATTCATGTGATACACTAACATATATTCAAGCAAAACACTCACACACACACACACACACACACACACAATTTTTAAAAATTAGGGCTAGTGAATAAAGGCACTTGACACCAAGGCTGAAGATCTGAGTTACATCCCCAAGACAAGTATAGTGGAAGGGAAGAACCACCTCCTACATGTTGACTTCCACATAGATGCAGTGACACATCTGAACACACACAAATAAATAAATGCAAATTAAAAATTTTTTTAAATATATATAAACATTAGAGGGGTTCAGGAGATAGCTCAGTAAAGGTTGCCAAAGAAGCATGAGGACTTGACCTTCATTCTTAGTACCCACATAAAAATCTAGGCATGGCATTGCATGCTTGTAGCCCTGGCATTGGGGAGGTGGAGCTAGAGGACCCCTGGGCTTCCCAGTCAGGCCAGCCTACTTGGCAAGTACCAGATCCTAGTCAGAGACATTGTTTCAAAAAATAAGGTGCATGGTAGCAGGAAGGCGGCAGGAAACAAACAAACAAACAAACAATCAACGTGGATGGCTCCTGAGGAATGAAGTCTGGTCTGGCCTCCACACGAACACACACCTGGCCTTAGCTTTTCCAAATAAATAAATAAATATTAAATATAGTTCTAGGCACAGAAGTAACTTTTAGCCAAACGGTCTTATCATGTATTCACAGAAAATAGCTGTGCAAAGTTCCTGAGTTTTGCAGCCAGCTACTTGAGCACTACCTCAGGCTGGGTAACACTTACATTGCAATCCTGTGTCAAGCTCAAAAGCATGAGTGATTTTCAATAGTTCTTCAACAAGTTGACTAAATCTTGTACTTTCTTGGAGGCTTCTGAAATTAAATTTAGAAAGCACATTGAAGTGATTATTAATTTTTTTTTTTTTTTTTGGTCTTTTTAAAGCAGCGTCTCCCTGTAGCCCCAGCTGTCCTGGAACTCACTATGTAGACCAGGCTGGCCTTGAACTCACAGAGATCCGCCTGCCTCTGCCTCCGGAGTGCTGGGACATGTGCACCACCACGCCTAGCTGATTATTAATTTTATAAGCACACTAAAATAAAGACAGGTAAGCATATAGATTATAACTGTTTTCTACTGTAGACATAGAAAAAAACCCTAAATCTAGAGAACCATTATTTTGATTCCCAGCATTATAAAAACAAAACAAAAAACTATCAGTGATGTTAAACTTAATTACTGACAGGGGAGTGAACTGTTTGACTATTGATTTTTTTTTTTCTGTCTTTTTGAGACAGGGTCTCCCTATAGCCCCAGCTGTCCTGGAACTCACTACATAGACCAGGCTGTCCTTGAACTCACAGAGATCTGCCTGCCTCTGCCTTCCAAGTGCTGGGATTAAAGGCATGCCCCACCACCCCTGGCTGACTATTGATTTTGTAAAAAAATTTTGGATAGCCAGGAATGGCAGTTCATGACTTTAATTCCAGCACTTGGGAGGCAGAGGCAGACAGATCTCTGTGAGTTCAAGACCAAACTGGTCTACATACTGAGTTCCAGGATATCCAGTGCTGTATAGTGAGACCCTGTCTCAAAAAAACAAAAAAACTTAAAAAATGAAAAATTTTTAGTCATGCATACAAATCCACCAAAAGCCTAAAAATCCCTGACAAGATACAATCCTGAGGTGGGTAGGCACAGTTGTGCATGCCTGTAATCCCAGTACTTGAGAGCTGCAGACAGAAGAATCAGCTCAAATTTAAGTTTGAGTTTAAGGAGATCCTGTTGCAAAACAGAATACAACACAACAAAAAACCCAGCAGGGTAGAAACTCTTGTAATCCCAGCTGAGGCAGGAGGATTTGTAGTTTGAGGCCAAGTAAGGCTACACAGCAATTCTGAAGTCAGCTACAGCTAAAGAGAGATCTTGTCTTAACCCATCCTTCACAAAATTCCACTCTGAACCCATAGCAGATATAAATCTACTGTATAATGAATTTACTATTCTTTTTTTTTTTTTTTTAATCCCAAATGCTGGGCTTAAAAGAATCCGCCACCACACCCAGATAGAATTTACTTTAAAAGAAAAAAAAAAAATTTTTTTGCCAGGCATGGTGGCGCACGCCTCTAATCCCAGCACTCTGGAGGCAGAGGCAGGCGGATTTCTGCAAGTTCAAGGCCAGCCTGGTCTATATAGTGAGTTCAAGCCCAGCTAGAGTTACAGGGAGACCCTGTTGCAAAAAGACCGAAAAAAAAAAAATTATTTGTTATTTTTATTTATTTTTGATCTTTTTGAAACAGGGTCTCCCTATAGCCCCAGCTAGCCTGGAACTCACTATGTAGCCCAGGCTGGCCCACCTGCCTCTGCCTCCCAAGTGCTGGAACTACAGGTGTGCATTTAATGTGCATGAGTGTATTGCCTGCATGTATGCGAGTGCACCCGTGCCATATAATGCCACGGAGGTCAGAAGAGGGCTTCGGATTCTCCCGGAACTGGAGTTAAGGACAGTTTGTAGCCACTATGTGAGTGCTGGGAATCAAACCTGGATCCTCTGCAAGAGCAGTCAGTGCTCTTAACTGCTGAGCCATCTCGCCAGCCCCAGAACTTACTATTCTTAATACCCCAAATCAACCAAATTGCTCATTGCTAGCTTTGCTTCTTAGAGATTTCCACCAAATGATAATTATACTGGTTTGAAAACATACAGATACCAAAATCCAAACAGAGATTTGGGCTTAGGAAGGAGGAAAATATAATTCATTCTTTCTTTAAATATCTAACTACCTACTATGTACTAGACATTGGAAAAACAGTATTAATTGAAAGCGGCAAAGTCATTACCTTAATAGAACTTAAACTGTGGCAGGAGAGAGATGTATGATACATATTTTATATATCATATATGGGTAAATAATCAGATAGAAAGAAAATGAAGACTAAGAGGATAATAGGATGAATTTGATTAAAACACATTATATGCATGCATGAAATTATCAAAACAATAAAAAGACTAGCAGGATAACAGACAACTGAGACAGAGCAGTACAGCTCCATTTGAGACAAACTGTTGAGTCCTTGCATTATTTGGAACATTAAAAACAATAATATGTTGTCTATGGCCATACCAACTGAGTACACATAACATTTATGTTGGAAGGCAGGCAGAATGAGGGCTGGTAAGTACATATGGTTGTGGGAAAAAAATGGCACTAAATCTAGTATCTGTTTAAGGCATATATGTCCCATAAAACTTAGAGGAAAACAATTATTTTAGAAATAATTTGTTTGCAAAACATTTTTTTTTTTTGGTCTTTTTGAGTCAGGGTCTCCTTGTAGCTCCAGCTGGCCTGAACTCTCTATGTAGACCAGGCTGGCCTTGAACAAACAGAGATCTGCCTGCCCGTCTCCCAAGTGCTGGGATTAAAGGCATGCATCACACTGTCCAGCCCTTTATATTTGTTTTTTGTTGAGAGAAGGTGCCACGCAGTCCAGGTTGGCCTCAAACTCACTATGTAGCCAAGGATGATTCTCCCACCCTCATGACCTGAATGCTGAAATCACAGGTGTGTGCCTGTCCCCTCCCAACCCCGTGTTTTTTTGAATTATATTTTTATTATTTATCTGTCTATTTACTTATTATTTATGCCATGGCTCATGTTTGGAAATCAGAAGACAACTTATGAGAGTCAGTTCTTTTCTTCTGCCATGTGGATCTTGGGATAGAACTTGGGCCATCAGGTTAGGCGGCAGACCTTTTGGAGGTTAGGCAAGCTTACATCTCTAGCCCCCAAACACATTTTGTATATTTTTCTACTGAAGAATTATTTTTTCCATATATTTTTGTGTGTATAAGTGTTTTGTCTGCATGTATGTGCACTATGTGCATGTCTGGTGTCCATGGGGGCCAAAAGAGGGCATCAGACCCCCCCTGGAACTAGAGACAATTGTGAGCTACGACATGCGTGCTGGAACCAAACCCAGGTCCTCCGCAAGAGCTGCAATAGCTCTTACCTACGAAGTGGTCTTTCCAGTCCCCGATGAATAGTTTCATAGGAACATTACCTATATATTAAAGAATATCTACTTTTCCTGCCATTTTTGCTTCCAACTCTCAAGATTATACAAACTACACACCTTTTGGTTATCTCATTCTTACACAAAGGACACTGTGAAGGCCCTCTCTTCTGGTTGAGAAGTTTCAGCATACAAAACCTATAAATTAGAAAGTAAGAACAATTTAAGTACTTTCTTTTGTAGAAAGAACATTCAAAAGGCAAACAGCCATGAAGACAATTTCACAACTGCCCTTACAAGCCATTTAAAAGGTAATGATAGGTGAACTGCAACCAGTGATTTCCTCTAATTATTTTTAGATGCTGCATAAGCAGAAAACCAAACCACATAAGAAATGACCTATGAAAACTGAATTTACATGCATATGGCTTACTGTTATGACCAAATAAAACATTAAAAAATTAATATGGCATACTTAATATGTTTATAATTATTTCATGCTGTATAATCAGATATAAATGCTTAAGCATTAATATAAAATGGTTATGTTAGTTACAAAACTCAGCACCTAGGGCTAGGGACACATCTCAATGGTAGAGCACTTGCCCAATAATCATAAGTCCCAGGTTTGATCTCCAGGACCTAATAACAACAACTCAGCATCTCACTACAAAGCTACAGTAAATATAATATGGTACTGCCATGACAGACACATACATCAGAGTAATAGAATTAAGAGTCAGAAAATAAGCCCATACGCACATATACAATCAATTTATTTTCAATAACTGTATCAAGACAATGAAATAGTAGTTTTGATTTTTCAAATTTTATTATTCCTTTTTGTGTATTAATGTATTGCCTGCATGTATGTGAGTACACTCGTGTTGTGCAATGCCCATAGAGGTCAGAAGAGGGTGTTGGATCCCCTGGAACTGGAGTTAAGGACAATTTTTAGCTACCATGTGGGTACTGGGAATTGAACCCGGGTCTTCTGCAAGAGCAGCCAGTGCTCTTAAATGACAAACCATCTCTCCAGCCCTTAGGTTTTTTATTTTTATTTTTTAAAAAAGAGGCCGATGCCGGGCGTGGTGGCGCACACCTTTAATCCCAGCACTCGGGAGGCAGAAGCAGGCGGACCTCTGTGAGTTCAAGGCCAGCCTGGTCTACACAGTGAGCTCCAGGGCAGTTGGGGATGCAGGGAGATCCTGTCTCAAAAAGACAAAAAAAAAAAAAAAAAAGAGGCCGAGTGTGGTGGTGCATGCCTTTAATTCCAGCACTCAGGAAGCAGAGGCAGGTGGATCTGAGATTGAGGCCAGCCTGGTCTACACAGTGAGCTCCAGGGCAGTTGGGGATGCAGGGAGATCCTGTCTCAAAAAGACAAAAAAAAAAAAAAAAAAAGTTATATTCCTCAGTGTATGTGTGTCTGTGAGCACATGTGACACGTGTGTCAAAGTGGAAGGGTATCAAGTGTCTTCCTTGATCACATGCCACCTAATTTTTTTAAGGCAAGGCCTCTTACCGAACCTGGAGCTCACTGATTAGGCAGAAATCAGAATTATAGGTGCATGCCACTATATCTGGCTTTTTACATTTATCATTTTTAAAAATTTTGTGAGGGGCTAGAGAGATGGCTCAGCAGTTAAGAGCACTGACTGCTCTTGCAGAGGACCCAGGTTTGATTTGCAATACCCACATGGTGACTACGAACCATCCTTAGCTCCAGTTCCAGGGGAATCTGAAGCCCTCTTCTGACCTCTGCGGCAATGCATGACATGGTGCACTCACATACATGTGGGCAATACACTCATACACATAAAATAAAAATAATAAAAAAAAATGTTATGTGTGTTTTGCCTGCATATCTGTGAATGCAGCAAGTTCTGACAGCATCTGCAGAAGACAGAAGAGGATGTCTGATCCCCTGGAACTGGAGTTACAGACATTTGTTAGCTGCCATGTGGGTGCTGGGAACTGAACCTGCGTCCTCTGAAAGAGCAGCCAGCCCTCTTAACTGCTGAGCCATCATCTCTCCAGTCCCATGGCACACATTTTAAATTTCAGCATTTGTGACGCAGAAACAGGTAGGTATCTGTGTGTTGGAGGTCAGCCTGGTCTACTCAAGTTCCAGGCCAGCAAGGGCTACACAGTGAGACCCTGTCTCAAAATAAAGAGAGACAGACAGAGATGGAGAAAAATCAGCAACCAAGAGAACATCAGGCTATCTTTTCAGGCTCAGATAAAGAATTCAATCTTGTTTTAGGAATTTTTTTTTTTTTTTTTTTTTGGTCTTTTTGAGACAGGGTCTCCCTGTAGCCCCAGCTGTCCTGGAACTCACCATGTAGACCAGGCTGGCCTTGAACTCACAGAGATCCGCCTGCCTCTGCCTCCCGAGTGCTGGGATCAAAGGTGTGTGCCACCATGCCCTCAATCTTGTTTTAGAACTCTGATGAATCTAAGTGGCACACCAACCAAAAGAAAACACATACAAGTTCTACATGCGATTCCTAGTAGAAAGGTCTAAGACAAGTCCTGGCCTTTTGGGACTGGTAACACTTAAAAGAAATGACATTTTTTTTTTATTTTTTAAAAGAGCTCCCTGTAGCCTGAACTGGCCTGCAACTCGTTACATAGACCAGGTTAGCCTTAAACTCACAGAGATCACCTGATTCTGCCGTTGCCTCCCAAGTGCTGGGATTAAACGAGTGCACCACAGCACCTGGCAAATGAGTGTTTCGAAGCAAACGTAGTACGTTTTCGGAAGGGTGGATTTTAAGGAAAAGCTGATATAAATCCGTTAAGAAATGAGAGTCAGAGTGCCACAAACCAAACCTGGGGACTTTTCAAGGATTCATTTAGGGGCACATCACTCTAAGCAATATAGTACTGTTGTGGAAAATCACCTGATATTAATGCTGATTCAAATCTATCCTGGCCAGGAGAAGTAAAAGAGTTCTAGGGGGCTGGAGAGATGGGTCAGCACTTAAGAGCACTGACTGCTCTTGCAGAGGAGCCGGGTTTGATTCCCAGCACCCACATGGCGGCTGTGAACCGTCCTTAACTCTAGTTCAGAGGAATCCGAAACCCTCTTCTGACCTCTGCGGTATTGCAAGACACGGGTGCACTCATACATGCAGGCGATACACAAATATACATAAAATAAAAATAATATCAAAAAAAAAAAGTTCTAAGTTTGGGCAAAATATAGACTGACTTTTGAGTACCTTCAATTATACGGGTTTCTATGGATTCCTGTCCCTGTTATCTTCTCTCTCAACAAGGCTAAGATGATAGACCAACATGGCTTCTAGGCAGGGAAACGCAGCTAAGAAATCCATAGCTTAGACTCTCATCATCCATTTATATTACTGGTCCTACTAAACTACATCAGTTTCAATTATGTTTGTACTAATCTTGCAATAGTTAAGCATCTATCTTTTTCTTTAGTTTTACAATTTTTTCTCTTTGTTTTTTTGAGACAGGGTCTCCCTGTAACCCTAGCTGGCCCTGATCTCACAAGAGATCTGCCTGCCTCTGCCTCCCAACTGCCTGGCTTTTTACAACTTTTTTAAAAAATGTGTTCTAGGGGCTGGAGAGATGGCTCAGTGGTTAAGAGCACTGACTGCTCTTCCAGAGGACCCAGGTTCGATTCCCAGCACCTACACGGCGGCTACGAACTGTCCTTAACTCCAGTTCCAGGGGAATCTTGACACCCTCTTCTGACGTCTGCAGCACTGTACAACACGGGTGTACTCACATACATGCGTACACATAAAAATAATAAATAAAATATTTAAAAAAAAGTGTTCTAGTGTTTTGCCTACACGTAAGTACACCACAGGTATGCAATGTTCATGGAGGCCCGAAGTGGGTTATCAGATCCCTATAGAAATTCAGATAGTTGTTAGCCACCAGGTGGGTACTGGGAACCCAACTCAGGTCCTTTGGAAGAACAGTCAATGCTCTTAACCACTGAGCCATCTCTCCAGTCCCATAGGGTAAAGGACTCTTTCTCCTACACTAAGACATTAAAAAAATTTTTTGGGTATGAGTGTTGTGCCTGCATGTGTATAAGTGTACCCATGTTGTGCAATGCCATCAATTGCCAAAGTTCCTTTGGTCCAGATGGGATTTCTTACCCACTTCCCAGGATTTTGTCTGGTCTGAGCTTGCATTGTATTTGTGCATGCTGTTGTCATTGCTATGAGTTCATGAGTACAAATAACCAGCTGTCTGAAAGACTGTTTCCTTACAGTCATCCACCCCTCTGGATCTTAAAATCCTTCCACCTCCTCTTCCACAATGATCCCTGGGCCTTGGGAGGCAGACGTTTGAAATAGCTGTCTATTCTGGGATAAGCACTCTGCAGCCTCTTGTTCTCTACACACTGGCCAAGTGTCGGTCTCTGTGTTAATCACCATCTGCTGCGTTACTTTCTTTTTTTTAATTTAAATTTATTTATTATTTTTATTTTATGTGTATGTGTGTATTGCCTACCTGTAGGTAAGTGCACCCGTGTCGTGAGATGCCCACAGAGGACAGAGAGACTGTTGGATCCCTTGGAACTGAAGTTACAGTTATTAGCTATCATGTGGGTGCTGGGATTCAAACCCGGGTCTTCTGCAAAAACAGTCAGTGTTCTTAACTACTGACCCATCTCTCCAGCCCCTGCATTACTTTTCTTATAACCTCAACCTTGAACTTCTGCTCATTTCTCATGCTAGGTTCCTAAGAGTATATATTCAATACACCATCTAAGTGGTTCATCCCTACCCTGTTTTTGGGTGTCTCTGACACATTGAACCCTTTACTAGACTCCAGAATTCCCTGTACCATGAGCTATCCATCTGGCCAACAAACCCATTTAACACTGACCCCGACTCATCTGGATGTCCACGACTGATTTATCTTACTTGATCTAACAAGTTTTTAGGACCTTGGCCACCACTGATCTGATCCATCTTCCTGTCCACCAAAAAGTATACACAGGAAGGCCATCAATCCAGAGCATGGTTTCTTAGACTTTAACTTACAGAAGAATGTCCTGGGTAGTTCTAACAGCACGGAGGCTAAGATGAGGATCACTTGAGCCCAGGAGTTTGAGACCAGCCTGGGCAACATAGAGAGTGCTCTCTCAAAGAAAAAAACAAAACCCCCAACAAAAAACTCAGAATCTTATGGGAATCTTGTTGAAATGA